TTTACCCTATAAAAAGAGCTCCAAGCGTCATCATGCCTTGTTTGTTATTAATTTCCTAATCTTGGACATTAACGGAAAATCTGCAGCTGATAGGCTCTAGCATCCACAAACAAGTCAAAATTATGCTACTGTTTTTTGGAAAGATCCCCTAACCCATCAATGGAAAGGTCCTGATCCCATACTAATTTGGGGCTGTGGGTCTGCCCGTATATTTGACAATAAAGAGGGTGCAGCTCGATGGCTTCCAGAACGCCTTGTTGATACCAAGACTGACTAACCCTCCATCTTCCAGGGAAAAACAGAACCCTGAGAATCCACCCTTGTTTATTTCAGATGCTGTTGCCACCGAAAAATTTGATGATCCTCCACCTGCTGATGCTGGTTCCAGATGCCATCATTGAAGCTGACTCTGGTCAATGGGAATTTCAAGTTTTTGCAATAGGGTTTGACCCCCCCACAACTGTTGAATAAGACCTGCTTTAAAAATAGCCAAGTAGAATTATACTTTGATGCCTGCCAACCCACTGACCCATATATTTGGGAAACTTGTGGCAGCTGGGAACAGAATTACGCCACAAATCATAAGTATATTTGCTGGAAGCATCTGGCCAGTCAAGCAGACGATTGTGATAATGTTAATGAAGGATATTGCCCCTATTTGTCCTGCCCCCATGAACATTCTGGGTCCCTCAGCTCCAATTTGGAGTTGTTGCGTCCTACGGGCAAAAAATGTTTTACAGGTGAATGTAACCTGGTCTAGTATACAATTACTGACCCACTGAATCACAAGTGGATATCAGGACTAATAGCAGGAATACGGGTGGATGGCCGAGGGCAAGACCCTTATGGGTTCTTACAAATTAAAAAGGTTTGGATACCCAAACCTACTGCCTCCCCCAAGTTGTTAATTCCTCCCAAGTTTTTTCCTCTATTGTTGCCCAATTGGATCCGGTGCGTTCTTGGACCTTCTCCTTAATACTAGATATCCTTAAGAGGTCCTTTTTGGGTTTGAGAAGGTGGCTCAGTGGTAGAGTGCTTGCCTTGCATGCATGAGACCCTAGGTTCGATTCCTCAGCACCACTATAAGCAGAAAAAGCTGGAAGTGGGACTGAGGCTCAAGTGGTAGAGCGCTAGCCTTGAGCTGAAGAGTTGAGGGACAGTGTCCAGGCCCAGAGTTCAGGCCCCACGACCAGAAAAAAAAAAAAAGGTCCTTTTTGCTGCTTAATACCCCACACCCAGAATTTTCACAAGGCTGCTGGCTGTGTATATGTCCCTCCTATGAGATACCTTTAGCTACGGCTGAGTATTTGCCCCCTCCCCAATGCTAAATTGTTAGAAGTTATCACCTCTTGCAATGCCTCCCCGTATACGTATTCTCCCCAGGTTCTGCTGGAGGTCCTACCAGAAAATTCCACATGTATTAACTATATTACCTCTAATCAAACCAAGTATTTTTTAGATTGCCGAAGATTTTTTAACACTTCTGGCCTACAGAAGTTAAAGACATATTGTCCCCCCACAAATACCTCCTTTTTAATGCAAGACGGCTTATATCCCTTTTTTAGAGGAAACTGGACTAACGCCTGTATAATTGTTTTTTTGTTCCCCAATATTGATATTCTTCCCAGGTCAGAACTGGTTCCCATTTATTTGACTGAGTTTGCATACGCCAAAAGAATGCCCGCATTTATTCCCTTTATGGTAGGCTTGGGAGTCACCACTGGCGTGGCTGCACGTGCTGCTGGCATTGCCACTTCCATTTCACTTCATAACTCCTTACAAAACCAATTGGTTGGCCTGGGAAGGTGGCTCAGTGGTAGAGTGCTTGCCTTGCATGCATGAGGCCCTGGGTTCAATTCCTCAGCACCACATAAGCAGAAAAAGCCAGAAGTGGCGCTGTGGTAGAGTGCTAGCCCTTGAGCTGAAGAGCTGAGGGACAGTGCCCAGGCCCAGAGCTCAGGCCCCATGATTGGCCAAAAAAAAAAAAAAAAAATTGGTTAACGATATTCAAGCAGTAACTCGAATTATCTTGACCATTCAAGAACAGCTAAACTCCCTTGCACAAGTTGTGCTTCAAAACAGGCAAGGCCTCGACCTTCTTACTGCCAGGCAGGGTGGTCTCTGTGTTTTCTTACAGGAGGAATGTTGCTTTTATGTTAACCAGAGTGGCATGGTTCGGGATCAAATTAGACAACTTCAAGAAAACTTAGAAAAAAGACGGCAAGGTGACTCATCCACCGGATGACAGCATACTCTCCTGTTCTTCCTCTGCTTGGACCCCTTAGTGCTATCCTGCTAATTGTTATTGTGGGGCCATGTATTTTTAACAGGATAGTTTCGTAAGGCAGCAAATTGACTCCCTGGCATCCATACCCCTGCAAATTCATTACCGCAGGCTAGATTTCGCTGATCAGGAACAGGGTGACTGTCATGAAGCCATTGCCTCTTGCTATACAGGCAAGTCAAACGGCAGAGCTTAGGCCTCCTTGGTGGCCAAAACCCGAATCGGCTAGACACACATGCCGTGGGCACCTATGGAAGGGTGGAACCTAACGGTATCCGCCAATGAGGGTGACCAAAAACTCACCGTTCGGGCTCATAGAAGCAAACCCATCTGCATAGAGGTTGGATTCGTCTGTAATCCTCTCCCCTCAAAAAGGATCGTTAAAACGTTCTAGGGGGATGGGTCTCTACTTCCTTCCACTGGTTAAGGCCCTTATACTACCAGACCTCTGCAAGACTCCGGTCAAGACCTTGTCACCCGTTCCCTGTAAATAATTGGCCCCATTTAATAAAATAAAAAGGGAGGAGATGCCGGGAACCAAGTGCTGTTTGCTAGAAAATACAGCTACTACCTTCAACCAAGTACTGTTTGCTAGGAAAACACAAATACTACCTTCGATAAGAGATGTTAAGCCTCGGAGCCTATTGATACCCTGTTTGACAACATTGCTTGGTGCCTTCTGAAGATTCCCTACCTATGACCTTTTGCAAGATATACTTTGCAGTTTTGGTGCCTAGCAACCCTATTGACCTGCTGATGCTAATTACCCTGCTCAGCGTGCTATATATACTGCTGTGTAAAAAATAAAGTTTTTGAGACCTTGATCAGAACCCTGTCTCCTTCCTCGTGTCTGGTTTGCCTCTCATTCAGGTCAGTTCCTCTTCGAGCTCTTGTTGACCGACACCGTGGGTCGGCATGTGTGTGTGTGTGTGTATCCCTGAGGTTTAGGCATCTGCTAGGAAAATGATTGAACATGGAGCCATTCCAAAGTCCTCATTGCAGATCTGATACAATTCTCCACACTAGAAAGTTCTTTCATCTCAAAAGCAAGACTGGTCAGCAGTCTTTGCTACACTAGAGCCACGGTCATTCAGTGCAGGGGCCACCATCCTCCTGCACTGTCTCCTTCACATCCCCGAGTCTCGGGCAGCTTAGCACTGGCTCATCCCAGGAGCACCACAGTGTGCTCAGTTCTTCCTGGCTGCTGTAGCTCACAGTGAGTCAGTGTGGTGAGATGCATTCCTATGCTGGGCAGGGTCAAGGTGCAGAGGGTTCAGTGCGGGGCACCATCACGCCTCTGTTCCGCACCATTCTCCTCCCCTTCTAGAGGCTGCTGTGTAGCCTTGGATTTCAGAAAGAACATTCACCTTTCCCAGAGTTTGCATAGAAATAATCCTCACGAGATAGTGAGACCAGCCCTTCACCGACCCCACAGGGGAGAACTTGCCAGGTGGGCATTTCATCAGCAGGGCTCAGCCATAAAGGAACAGCAGCGGGAATAATGGCACTTGGGGACTGGAAAGTGTGGCTTCTGGACGTCCCTGCACACTGTGTGTATCTCGCTGTGACCTATTCTCTGCTTGGCATTCCTAAGTCCACAGTAGAGAATGAGGAGGGCCGATGGATCCCAGTCACCATGCGCAGAGGTGAGCGCTCTGCCTGGATGGTTTCAGCAATGAAGTCTGTTCTCATGTCCGCTGTCTGAGGCGTGCATTCAAGCCTCTGCTTGTTGTGTGCATAACCAGATATCCTGTGTTCTGCTCTTGCTGACAGCTATTCTTACAAACTGTTTAGAAAGTCAGGTCTTGCTATAGAGCTCAGACTGCCCTTGAACTCTCCATCCTCTGCTGGGATGACAGCAGGACCCAGCCCACTCAGCAGTACCCCTGAACTCCCGGTGAGTTTTCTGTGGTCCTGGAGTTGGTTTTCTGTCGAGGACATCTTGGTGGCCATGGGTGGATGGATCAGGCCCCACTGCCCACACTGAAGGGACTTCTGTTGGGCATGAAGCCTGAGATGGCTTGTGAGGTTGGAACTTTGGCTGAACACCTGGCCATGTGTGTCACACCTCTCCCGGGTGTGTGTCCTGCGGTGTGCAGCAAGGCTGCAGGCCTGGCTGAAGGCCTTCCCGCACTTGGCACACCTGTGCGGCTTTCTGGCTGGAGTGTACGGCCTGGTGGTGCCTGGTGAGGCCCGAATTTCGGATGAACGTCTTTCCGCACACCTCACATACATACGGCCTCTCTCCAGTGTGCTTCCTGCAGTGTTGCACCAGGCTACTTCTCTGGGTGAACACCTTCCCGCACGTGTCACACAGGAATGGCCTCTCCCCGGTGTGCTTCCTGGAGTGGCGCACCAGACTAGTTCTCTGGGCGAATGCCTTCCCGCATGTGTCACACACATACAGCCTCTCCCCAGTGTGCATCCTGCGATGCAATGTGAGGCCATGCGCCAGTCTGAAGGCCTTCCCACACTCAGAACACCTGTAAGGCTTCTGGCCAGTGTGCACACTGTGGTGTGTGACAAGGCTGCTGCGCTGTTTGAAGGCCTTGCCGCATGCCCCGCACGTGTAAGGCCTCGCCCCGGTGTGCGTGCTCTGGTGGCGCTCCAGGCTAATTTGCTGGGTGTATGCCTTCCCGCACTGGGTGCAGAGGTAGGGCCGATTCCCGGTGTGCGTCCTGCGGTGCACAGAAAGGCTGGAGGCCTGGCTAAAGACCTTCCCGCACTCGGTACACTTGTGTGGCTTTTCTCCAGTGTGCACGACCTGGTGGTTGGTGAGAATGGCACGCATGCTGAAGGCCTTGCCACACACGTCACACACGTACGGCCGCTCCCCAGTGTGTGTCCTGCGGTGCACGGTGAGGCTGTACATCTGGCTGAACGCCTTCCCACATGTGTCACACACATACTGCCTCTGCCTGGTGTGCACGACCTGGTGCCTGGTGAGGCTAGAGGGCATGACGAAGGCCTTGCTGCACTCCCCACAGCGGTGCGGCCTCTCCCCCGTGTGCCCCCTGCATTGCTCCTTGAGGTTCGAAATCTGTCTGAATGCCTTCCCGCACTCAGAACATGGGTAGGACTTCTCACCGCAATGGCTTCGCTCATGAACCACGAGATAGGAACGTGTGGAGAAAGCCTTCCCGCACGTGGCGCAATGGTGCAGCTTCTCCCCGGTGTGGCTCAGCTGATGAAGCTCCAGGGCCGAGGGGTAGCCGAACAACTTGCCACACTCCTCACACTTGTGACACTTTCCCCCAGTGAATGATTTGGGTGTTCGCGTGAGTATCAGAGAACAGATGGAGGCGTCGTCACCTGTGGGGACAATGTGTGTGTTCCCACTGGAGGGTCTCCTCCGAAGGTGTGATGTGGGGGCCCCCAGTGAGGGTGGACTCTCCACCTCGGTCCTCCTCCCTGGCCTTTCACACAAGAATGGCAGGAGGCCACACAGGTGCTCCTGGAGGGGCCGTCCCAGCCATGGGCTCGTGGGCTGCTTCCCCGCATGACCCCCACCCTCCTGCTCTCCTCCACCAACTGCCCTCTTCTCTGTGGACCACAAGCACCCCTTCTGCACTGCCTTCAGTGCCGCTCCACTCCCACTCCCACTCACGTGGAACTTTCTGGACTTCCTCGCAAGAAAACTCGCCAGTGCCTCCGTCCTCATGACTTTGGGATATTTCTGCCCTACCGCTGCTCGCACTGGGTGGTAATTCTTTAATTACATATCTAGGACAGGTACCTGCAAGATTCAAAGTTCCCATCTGATTAATCACATAATTAAGTATTTCACACTGAGAGAATATCACAGCAAATATCAGACACACTGAGGAGCCGTATTTACTCTGAGAAACATAAAATCCAACATTTAGGGGCTGGGAAGTTGGCTCAGTGGTAGAGCGCTTGCCTTGCATGCCAGAGGCCCTGGGTTCGATTTCACAGCACCACATAAGCAAAAAGAAAAAAAAGCCGGAAGTGGCGCTGTGGCTCAAGTGGTAGAGTGCTAGCCTTGAGCTGAAGAGCTGAGGGACAGCGCCCAGGCCCAGAGTTCAGGCCCCACGACTGGACCCAAAAAAAAAAAAAAAATCCAACATTTAGGAACACAAAAGGAATAGGACTCTTTCATTGGAAAATGGACAATATGGAATCCAAATTAAGAGAAGGAAGGCCTCATTTCAAACAACCTATGAGGAAAACATGCACCCTGAGCAAGTCGATGTATAAGAGAGGATTCTACACCTCCCTCACCCACCCCGGGTCCCAGGGCACACCTAACTACCAAAAGCTATATGGTTGGTTATATCATAAACAAAGAGAAAAAAATGCCTATTTATACCCAGGCACCAGTGGCTCACGCCTGTAATCCTAGCTATTCAGGAGGCTGAGATCTGAGGATTGTGGTTCAAAGCCAGCCCAGGCAAGAAAGTCCGTGAGACTCATCTCCAGTGAACCACCAGAAAACTGGAGGTGGTGCTGTGGCTCAAGTGGTAGAGTGCTCACCTTAAGCTGAAGAGCTACGGGACAGCACCCAGGTCCAGAGTTCAAGACCCATGACCAACTCCAAAAAAAAAAATGTGTGTTGGAGAAAAAACAAAAAAAAAACAAAAAAAAATACAAGTGATGGAATGTACAGCCATAGCTCTAGGTGTGTATCTGAAGGAAATGAAGTCAGCATATAAAAATGGGGTACTGGGCTGGGAAAGTGGCTCAGTGGTAGAGTGCTTGCCTTGTATGCATGAGGCCCTGGGTTCGATTCCACATAAGCAGAAAAAGCCAGAAGTAGGGCTGTGGTTCAAGTGGTGGAGTGCTAACCTTGAGCTGAAGCGCTGAGGGACTGCGCTGAGGCCCAGAGTTCAGGCCCCACAACTGGCCAAAAAAAAAAAAAAAAGTGGGGGGGGGGGGGGGTACTGCACACCCACCATTAGCTGGAGAGTCAGCCTAGCGTGCTTCAATGGACACAGGATATGCAGTGGGGACACAGAATAGCATATTACTCTGCAGGACAGGGCACAAGGAGAGACATTCTAAAGTCCTTTAGGGCTCACAGCAGAGACACTTTGGTTTTCCTACAGAAAACTTCCACTCATGCCCAAGTTCCCCAGCTCCAACTCTGCACATCTGAGCTCTTACCTGTGTTCTCACCTTTGGCGCCTTCCCAACCATTCAGCTCTCCTGGAGTTGTCACATGGCTCTGTGCTACCCAGGGCTCTTCCTGGAGCTCCAGTGGCAAAAGCACACTCACGCTGGGAGGAGAGACTCCTGTTGATAGAAAGACAATGCGGCTGGGTGCCGGTGGCTCACGCCTGTCATCCTAGCTACTCAGGAGGCTGAGCTCTAAGGATCATGGTTCAAAGCCAGCCGGGGGCAGGAAAGTCCGTGAGACTCTTATCTCCAATAAACCACCAGAAACCAAAAGTGGTGCTGTGGCTCAAGTGGTAGAGGGCTCGCTCGCCTTGAGCTGAAGAGCACAGGGAAAGCGCCCAGGCCCAGAATTCAAGCCCCACAACAAAGAAAGAAAGAAAGAAAGAAGGAAGGAAGGGAGGGAGGGAGGGAGGGAGGAAGGGAGGGAGGGAGGGGGGGGAGGGAGGGAGGGAGGGAAAGAAAGAAAGACAGACAGACAATGCTCTGTGGCCTTTCCGGAATCCCCAGTTCTACACTTACGGGAAAAAGGGACATCACACACGGATGCAAAAGACAGTTCACACATTCAGCAGACTGCCTCCATCTAAACACTTCAGAGCACACTCTAATGTGCAGACAGCAACACAAGAACTACTGAGTCAGAAGCACAAGGAAATCCATCTACTCAAAGTCTTCCATGGGCTGACTGTGGTGTCATTTCTGTGTAATTCCACCACTCAGAAGATCAGGGGCAAGTTCAAGGCCACCCAGGACTACAAAGGAGGACCTTGTCTTAAAAAAAAGGGGGGGGGGGGCTGGGAAGCTGGCTCAGTGGTAGAGTGCTCACCTTGCATGCATGAGGCCCTGGGTTCAATTCCTCAGCACCACATACACAGAAAAAGCTGGAAGTGGCACTGTGGCTCAAGTGGTAGAGTGCTAGCCTGGAGCTGAAGAGCTGAGACCCACAACCGACAAAAATAAAAAAAATAAAAAATTTAAAAAATGGGGCGAAGGAAGGTCTGCCATAGTGCTTGAGATGTAGCTCAGTGATGAGAGGACCTGTCTAACATATATAAATCCCTAGAGAGGGAAGGAAAAGGAGAAGAGTGGAAAAAGGAAGGGAAGAAGGGGAAGGGAAAAAAGGAACAAATATCTATGGAACTTGAGGCTCTCTAGGCATTTGGGGGAAAAGAAAGCAAAGACGAAAAACTCCCAACTTGTGCAGGGAGGGAGGGGTGCTCACCCACGGAGACCAGGTTCCTGTAGGTGTCCAGCATGACGTCCCTGTACAGAGCGCGCTGAGCCGGGGTCAGGCACCGCCACTCCTCCCGGGTGAAATACACCGCCACATCCTCAAATGTCAACTGTCCCCAAGGAGAAAATCCAAAAGCATTTCACACACAAATGCAGGGACTCGGAAAAAGTATTACATGAAATTATTATAATCAGCAATCAACACACCAGGGACAGAAGGAAGCTTCAGGATGTTACAGTTTGTAATGCTGTATTTGATAGGACACTAAAAAGAAAAAAGCTATGTGCAATGGTACATTCTAGCATTCTTCTAAGAAAGTGAGGACGTATGAGGAGCTGTGTTAAAAGAACGCAGATATACACCAGTGACTCTCACCTAGAATCTCAGCCACTCAGGAGGCTGAGATCTGAGCATCAGGATTCAAAGCTTCAAAACCAACTAGTGCAGGAAAGTCCTTGAGACCTTTTTTCTTTCTTTCTTCTTCTCCCCCCCCCCCCCCCCCCCCCCCGGTTGTGGAACTTGAACTCTTTAGGCCTAGGTGCTGTCCCTGAGCTCTTCTATAGCTCAAATCAAGCGCTCTACCACTTGAGCCACAGCACCACTTCCAGTTTTCTGGTGCTTTATTAGAGGTAAGAGTCTCACGAAATTTCTTGCCCTGGCTGGCTTTGAACAGCTATTCTCAGATCTCAGCCTCCTGAGTAGCTAGGATTACAGGAGTGAGCCACCAGTGCCTGGCTTACTTGAGACTCTTATCTCCAATTAACTACCCAAAAAATCCAGAAGTGGAGCTGTGACTCAAGTGGTAGAGCCCCAGCCTCAAGCTAAAAAGTTCAGGGCAGCACTCACATCTTTAATTCAAGCCTAAAGACTGATGAGGAATAAAAGAGACAACACAAAGTTTAAAAGAAAACCAGCACAGAGGTTTCAGCAAGGACACAGGAACACTTGGTGGGTGATGTCCTCCTGTGCCCATGCCCAGTGGAGGGGACAGGGCTGAGGGAAGGTGTGGGGGACGTGACCACACATGGCAGGTGCCAGCACAGTCAGCGCCCAGGCCAGCTCTGTGCACAGGAAGGAGACGCCACACAGCTTTACCTGAGTCACAGCCACCATCCCTGTTCCTTGTCTTTCCTCTTCCTCCTCCCTGGGCTTCCTTCTTAGATGATATCACTTTCCAGAAGTCAGTCCTGAGTGCTGAAAATATCCCATTTAATGCTCACACACAACACACACTTTCTGTGTCCCCGTCCCAGCCCCGGGAGGACCTCACTGTGGGGAAGATGGTCCTGTGCTGCCCACTTGTGGGGTGATGTGGAATGCTGGAAGTGTCAGACTTTCCTGCCCAGGCTGACTTCAATCCTCCTTCCTCACATCCCAGCCTCCTGAGTGGCTAGGGTTACAACCATGGACCCTGCTCTCTCTACTCTCCTTGTAACCAGAGACCCCTCTTTCCCATGGACCAAATGGCTGTATACAACTGCAAATCTTTCTCCTCTTCTCCCACTCGGGAGTGCTCCCTGGCTTCCTGTACCCCGCCACCTAGGTCATGTCTTGGATCCTTCTGGAGATGGAGGTTCTTAATTTCTCTATTTGCTTTTCTTTCTGTTCATGCCACTGAATGTTTGGAAAGCCTGCACCCCATTACTACTTTGCCCCTGATGTGGGAGCTCTCTCTTCTCTTCCTGTTTTCCTGATTTCCTGCTGATCCTTTGCCCTCATCTTCCCACAGCCTTCCTACAGGTCAAGTGTAACAATGCAGGCTCAGGCACAGTGTAGGATCGGAAGGGGTAGCAGCAGGGTAGGACTGCGTTGGGGTGGGAGGAGTGGGTGGGGGGGAGGGGAGGTTGAGCCTGTCTGTGGACACGTACAATGATGAGGGGGTCTCATAATGTCAAGCGGGAATAGGTCAGGAGCAGGGCCAGGAGTGGGGCCATGGCCTGGGGTGGGAGTCAGGGGCTGGGAACCGGATGTTGGTGTTAGGATCAGGAAATTAAGCAGGTATTAATTAGAAGCTGGGCACCAGTGGCTCACATTTGTAATCCTAACTATGCAGAAGACTGAGATTTGAGGATCATATTTCAAAGCCAGCCCAGGCAGGAAAGTCTGTAAGACCCTTATCTCCAATTAACCTCTGAAAACCAGAAGTGGTGTCATGGCTCAAGAGGTAGAATGCTTTTGAGCATTGAGAAGAGTTCAGGGACAGTGCTTAGGCCTAGAGTTCAAGCCCCCCACAGACAAAAAAAAAAAAAAAAATTAATTAATTAATTAGACTAAGAAGGAAATTTAACTGAGATCATTAAGTTAATTAAGATAATTAAAAATAATAAATGCGGGCTGGGAAGGTGGCTCAGTGGTAGAGCGCTTGCCTTGCATGCATGAGGCCCTGGGTTCGATTCCTCAGCAACACATAAGCAAAAAGAAAAAAGCTGGAAGTGGTGCTGTGGCTCAAGTGGTAGAGTGCTAGCCTTGAGCTGAAGAGCTGAGGGACAGTGCCCAGGCCCAGAGTTCAGGCCCCCGACCAGACCCCCCCCCCAAAAAAAAAAATAATAAATAAATAAATGCATGCCAGGCGCTGGTGGCTCACGCCTGTAATCCTAGCTACACAGGAGGCTGAGATCTGAGGATCGCAATTCAAAGCCAGCCTGGGCAGGAAAGTCCGTGAGACATTTATCTTCAATAAACCACTAGAAAACCAGAAGTGGCGCTGTGGCTCAAGCAGTAAAGCACTCACCTTGAGCTGAAGAGCCCCAGAGTTCAAGCCCCACGACCGACCAAAAAAAAAGAAAGAAAGAAAGAAAGAAAAAAATAATAAATGAACTTTACAAAGGGGAACAAAACTTGGGCTTGACATTTGCCAAGAATTGCCAACCAAGGCTGACCACCAATGTCCCAATGTTTTTTGTTTTTTTTTTGTGATTAGGCTTGCTCAGCAAATATACTAAAATATGGAACTCAACCCACTGCAGTTACCTTTTATTGATTAATAAGAAATAAGGCCAAGGGGCTGGGAAGGTGGCTCCGTGGTAGAGTGCTTGCCTTGCATGTATGAGACCCTGGGTTCAAT